TAAATGTTTTTTCTAAAACATCATATCAAAAATAAAAATTTTGGTCTGGAAAATTTGGATGTTACACATGCAAATAATTGTAAGCAAAACCCTAACAATTTGAAAAACCAACAAACATTACAATATAAAAAAGAACCAACCAGGGAGGGTAGTGTTCGTACTTTGAAACATGACGACAAACGAATAAACAAGGCTATGTTGAATTTGTTTGTAGTGGGTGGTCTACCTTTTAAGTTTGTAGAAAATGAGGCCTTTATTGAATACATAAACGCACTAAATGGGAAGGTGGTTATACATTGTCGAACAACAATTTCAAAAAATGTGTCACTTTACTATCAAGAAGAAAGAAATAAGTTGGTAACATTCTTACGTAATCCCCTTAACACAATTCATTTGACCACCGATTGTTGGACATGTCCGAGTAAAAGGGTGCATTATATTGTCATGACCGCACACTTTATTGATGATAACTGGGAGATGCACAAACGGATAATCAACTTTAAAGAATTAGATAGTCAGTAGGGGGAAGATATCAGATAAGAGGTGTTGAAATGTATTCAAGGGTGGCGTTTTAAGAATGTCATGACTTCCACGGTTGATAATGCAAGTTCGAATGATAAAGCAATAGAGTTTCTAAATAACAAATTACCAAACTTGTAAAACGAAGGAAAAAACTTTCACATTAGGTGTATGGCACACATTATCAATCTAATTGTGAGAGATGGGATGAATAAAACGACGAGAGTGTTAAATGTTTGCAATATGCCGTAAGATATATTAGAAAGTCCACACAACGGATTGCACTATTTAAAAAGTGCATGAAAGCCGTCGGGGTGGAATCAACCAAATTTTTGTGCAACGATTGTCCCACTCGTTGGAACTCAACCTAAGACCTATTGTAGATCGCGGTGGATTTAGAAAAAGCTTTCTACGAGTATGAAAAGGAAGGTAATTTTTTATTTTATTTTCTGCATTGTTGCTGAATTTTTAGCCCTATTTAAATTGTCTTGTTTGCTTCATTAGGAGTCCGTATGAGCTGATTTTTTTTTTCAAATTGTAGTTCATTGTTTAACAATAGTAAAAGACTTTGGAAACACCTCATTTGCATATGTATTGAGTCACTTACAACCCTCCAAAAATGATATATCAAATTTGTTTTGAATCTGTTACAACATTATTGCTAAATTTTTAGTTAGCTTTAAACTGTCATATCTACTTCGTTATGAGTCCATTCAGGCTGATTTTTTTTTAATTGCAGTTCATTGGTTGGAAATAGTAATAGACTCTGGAAACACCTCATTTACATATGTACTGACTCAATTACAACCCTCCAAATATGATATATCAAATATGTTTTGAATATGTTACAACATCATTGTTGAATTTTTAGTTAGCTTTAAACTGTCATATCTACTTCGTTATGAGTCTGTTCTGGCTGATTTTTTTAAAAAAATTGTAGTTCATTGTTTGGCAATAACTATAGACTTCGGAAACATCTTATTTTCATATGTATGGAGTCATTTATAGCCCACCAAAAATGATATATCAAATCTTTTTTTTTTTTTAACATTTTTTGATAGATCATTCCTTCTCACGAGATGTGGTAACCCCCGTAAGTGTAGATTTTACAACTTGTCAAGCAATGGTCTCCTTTCTTGAGAAGTTCAAGGTCAAAACAGAATTGGTGTCGATGACTTCAAAACCATTGTCAAATCGGCTTTTTGGAGAAGTATGTGGCATTTAGAGGCATATACGGGTTTGGTCTAAAAACAAACGATTTTCTTAAATAGGGAAGGATATGATAGATACATATGAGAAGTATTGGGGAGATTTTGAAATTTTATATGACTACATGTCTACATGTACTTTGCGACTATCTTGGATACATGAATGAAGACATAATTTCTTAAACATGCTTTTGAAACATTAATCAAGTACAAGATGCCGGAAAATCAACCCCTTTCCGAATTAGATATTACTGCAAAGGCTAAGTCTTTAATCAAGGATATTGAAACGAGATTTGAGAACTTTTTAATGGTTACAATACCAACTCATATGTACCATTTGAAACCGGTGGTAGTCAAGATGTCGTGCATATTGATGATAATGACGACTTTGTGGGATCAAATTTGTATTAGGGGTTGGGTAGAGCTGATATTCGGAGTTGGGACCTATTCAGCTATCGTCTAGCATTCGAGGTGAGTTTCCTTACCGGTTTAGTAGGTCTAAGGCACCAAGGCCGACCCTTGGTTGGATATGCTATTATACTTGTTGTATGTATGATACTTGTATATGAATTTTTATTGGGAGGGGCGCGTTATGTGAGTTTGGATGGGGCTCGTATCTCACTATTATCTGAGTGTGTGTGAGGCCCATATCTGATTATTTTCCGAGTATGGGCGGGACCCTTATCTCATTGGGTGGGGCCCGTCATTCTAATGTGGGCAGGGCCCGTATCTCACTATTATTCAAGTGTGGGCGAGGCCTGCATCTTGTTTGGGCGGGGCCGTTATATGATATGTACGGTATGTTGTATTTTGGAGAACTCACTAAGCTTTCTGCTTACGGTTTAAGTTTATATTTTAGGTACTTTCGGTTCTGAGGGGGAAGAGCTCGAGTTGAATGCAACAAACACACCATTGGGATTCCGCATTTGATATTTACTGTGAATGTGATAACATTTGATACATTGGTTTTGTTAAGATGTATATGGATGATTTTTGAAAATACTATTTTGTATGTTATAAAAATAAATTTTTTGGGACCATATTTTTGGATGTTACATTATGTATATTTAAGCTTGCAACTATCGAAGCATATATGATTAACTTCATTTGATCTCATTCTACATTTGTTTTTTTTTTTTTTAAACTTATTTGACCACTTTTTGTTGTGTCGTACAACATAAACACACCACTTATATATATATATATATATATATATATATATATATATATATATATATATATATATATATATATATATTTGTAAAAAGCATATATGATTAACGTACTACCCTTTAGCCTCACTTCTGCCATTAAGCACTTAATGCTTTAAGTCATAAGTCCAAACCATAGATTTGAGTCCCACATAATGTCTAAACCTATAAAGTCACTGACTTGGTGACTTTGCATGCCCCCAATAAGACCAAATAACATTCTACTTTCATGGAAATTGCTCAAACTCCAACATAGATGGTCTTAAACTCTAAAGGTGCCAACTTTATGGACCTTGAACTTCATAAACACTAAGAGGGGCAACTCAAAGCTCCTAGAACGAAATCAAGAGCACTAGATCTCATACTTGGGTCCAAAATGAATAAAAACTCACAATTGGTAGATCTAAGAGATGAACGGTCAAGTTCAAATCTTTATACTTTCATCAAGCTGAGAATGAGTCCCAAAAGCCAGATCCATAAGCTCCTCCTTGATTCCTATCTTTACAAGAAGCTCCATATTCTTGAAAATGGGCCAAACATCCCAAAAATGGACTGAATAAGCTCAAAATGTCACCATGAATGATATATGATGATTTCTAGGGTTTTAGAGGGTGGAGGCTGCAGATATTAGGGTTATGAGATAAGGAGCTTAAATAGGGTCCAAGACCCTAAAATAGGGTTCTGATCTGACTGGAGTACGCCTAACGTACAAATGGTACGCCTAGCGTACTGCTAGGAACCTTCGCGACCATCCTGGTTAGTACGCCCAAAGTACTCCAAGGTACACCCCGCGTACTCCCTTCTTCTCTAGCACGCCTTGCGTACTCTTTGTGTACCCCCCGTGTACTCGACTAGGCTTGAAAACCATGAAACTTCCGAAGATCATAACTTCTTCATTCTAAGCCCGATTCTGGCGATCCTTATACCCACGAAAAGGTAACGAGAAGCCCTGAACTTCTATTAACTCATACCTCTCTTTAAACCTTCCGAATGAAAATTCATTTTCCATAAGAGCCAGAACTGCCATTTTACCGAAATACCCCTAGGCTCCAAAACACGAACCGAACACTCAGATTACTTCTAATACATCACCCACACCCAAGTGGGTCAAGATCTTACCTCCTCAAAAGTCGTAATCCTTATTATACAGTAGCATATTTCGATCATGTTCATGATTAAGTCTTATATTTTTCAAATAATAGTCATATATCGCAATACTAAAAGTAAGGGTGGGCATAATAACCGAAAAACCAAACTAAAACTAAATTAACTCATAAAATCGAACCATTTTTAAAACCGATGGTTTGTTTTTATTTTTTCCTAACCGATATATATATATATATATATATATATATATATATATATATATATATATATATATATATATATATATATATATATATATAGTTCGACTTATTCAAGTGCAATTATTAAAAAAAAAAAAACTCATTAATGCTCACTTATCAATAGACATGATTGAGAAATAAAACTATAAACAGTTGCACAAACACATGCAATTAACAATCACACATTGTAACTGATTAACTTGGTATTTATTAATTCTATAATTTGTAAACGTTTAGCAAAGTTGATTGGAGGTCAGATTCAAATACAAAAGTTATATGTTTTATTTTATTATTATAAGATTTCAAAAGCTTACAAACATTATTGGTCTAATATTTTTTGTACTATTTTTTATACCAATATACTTTTATTTTGTATCATTTTTTGGACATTATGGTTAACCAATATTAACCATTAACCGAAAAAACTATTAACTATAACCAATACTAATAACTAATAGATACCAAAGCGCATTAACCAATAATAATAATTATAGTTCGGTTTTGGTCGATAGTCCGTCCGATAGATACCCTAACCAGCAGCTAACTATTTAGATTTAAAATCATGATAATTGAATTTTCGTAAAAAATTATTTCAAGGAAAATTGAAAACCCTTACTCTTAACGGGCTACTCTACTTATGAACAGTGAAAGTAATTGCGGAGTCCAAGCCCTATAACAAATTGGCCCATACGTTCTCTGTCCACGGACTACAGACACTCGCTAAAACCCTAATTCAAACCTAGCTTCGTCTTTTTACGCTTATTAGCAGCATTCTCTCCGCAGCTCAAATCCAGAAAGAGTACAACCATGGGTAAGACTTCTGCAACTTCTCTTGATTTCCCTGATGTTATGTCCTCCCTTCCTTCGTTGATATGTCATACGTTTGTTGCAAAATTGTATATGTCTTCCGGATTATGATATTTCGTCTATTTTTTGATTGTTGATTGGTTTATTTGGTTTTGATCTGTTGAAATACCGGTGAAGAGTGTTTTTAATTGATTGGAACGAGATTTGATTTTGCTGGTGGTAACAGGGGCTTATACATATGTGTCGGAGCTATGGAGGAAGAAGCAATCGGATGTGATGAGATTTATGCAGAGGGTGAGGTGCTGGGAGTATCGGCAGCTTCCTTCCATTGTCCGGGTCACTCATCCAACCCGACCCGACAAAGCTAGGCGTATGGGTTACAAAGCCAAGCAGGTAACCTATTACGCTGTCAGTTAATTTGTAACATTTGGTATTCACTCGAGTTTCGATACTTTGATCCTATAAGAATACTTTGTATAGAGATATATTTTCGTTTACAATTCATATCAGTGTTTATCTCTCAAATCGCATAATTAAAACCCATGCTTTCCTATCTAATGAATATGTATGTTCCTGCTGTTCATAGAATAATCTGCAAATAATGAGTAATTAAAGTCGTGTAGTTAAAGTTATGCATTTAGGAACTTTTTCCTGTTAAATGATTATGATTTGTGGTAAATATAATTAGGGTTATGTGATTTATCGCGTACGTGTGAGGCGTGGTGGAAGAAAGAGGCCAGTTCCAAAGGGTATCGTGTATGGAAAGCCCACAAACCAAGGAGTGACTCAGCTCAAATTTCAACGCAGCAAAAGGTCTGTTGCTGAGGAACGTGCCGGAAGGAAATTAGGTGGCCTAAAAGTCCTCAATTCTTACTGGCTGAACGAGGTATTTATGACACAATTCAGACGTGTTTGTGTTTTGTAATTGGACTGAGATTGAAACTGATGCTTTTTATGCAGGATTCGACCTACAAGTACTTTGAGGTGATATTGGTTGATCCAGCACATGCTGCTATAAGAAATGATCCGAGGATCAACTGGATTTGTAACCCTGTGCACAAGCACAGAGAGCTTCGTGGATTGACATCTGCTGGAAAGAAATACAGAGGCTTACGTGGAAAGGGACATTTGAACCATAAGGCGAGGCCTTCTAGAAGGGCTACATGGAAGAGGAACAATACTCTTTCTCTTCGTCGCTATCGTTGAGTGTTTTTATTTTTATGGTATTTCTGTTGGGTCTCAGCTTAGTCTTGAAATCTTTCTGTGGTTTAATACTTGACATTGTTATTTAAGTTTTGATCAATACTTGTTTTTTTCCCAGATTTTTTTGGATCCACATCTTCATACATCATGAAATTGGTTTTATTTCTAATGCTTTAACATGTTAAATTAAGTGAAAAAACCTACTCTTTAACTTATTGTTCAGAAGTTTCCTATCTGAACAAAGTTACAGCCAATTTTGTTAGGAGCGGAACATAAGAGTATCTTTTTTTTTTTTTTTTCTACTTTGAATTTAGCCCTTTTTTTACTTGAATATGTTTATACCAGTTTTTGATTTAGTTATTTGACTTGATACATAAAAATGTTTCGTATGTTTATAGTTATTTTAAGAAACCGGTGTTCATAAATTAAGAAAATAGATTCCTCGATTAAGCATATAGTTCTTTATAATATTTGTTCATTTTTTGGGTTTGTATTTAAAAAATATAAATTGTTAACTACATAACAAACTAGTTTTATATTTACAAAAAAATTTAAAAGTACAAAGTAATCCATTTTGACGCCAAATAAGCACACCATTACAGTAATGTGAACCCACTCCCAACTTGACATTTGACAACCTATAGTGGCTTGGATTACATAAAAAATGATTAGGGAGTAAATGTGATTGAAACCTTAAGTTGAAAGGGTAATAATGACATTAACCTTGGTTTTAAATGGATGTTCTTTTTTAATGCTAACAAAATGTTTATATTTCTATGTTTAGGGGTAAAAATGAAATATCTAATTGGGTTAGTTGAAGTTGTTGTCAACTTTGAATTGTATTTTTCCTTGTATGTTTCTTTCTCCTTTGATCCTTTCTTGCTAGGCCGTGGTTAATAGATTTCGTCAGTTCCAAAAAAATCAAAATAAAAAGATCTATCTTTTTAACTTATTGTAACATATAATGGCTATCTGTGTTGGGATCGTAGTATAAATGGCTAAAACAAATGACCCCACATCAAGTGATGTGTTTTACCGATTTACAAAACACTGACGACAACAAAAGATTTTGGGTTCTATCATGAGGTGGAAGAGGCGAGGAGATTAACTTGTCACTTAAATCTAATGCCCTCCTGTTATGTAACTTATGTGTAACTGGTCATAAATTTTGAAATGTTAAAAGTAACAAACTATCATATTTAAGTTTAACCACTAAACTATTGTATGCAATTTTCCATTTTGCCCAACGAGTTAGTAAATTTCCAAATTGAGCAGATAGTTTTTGTCACTATATTGTGTCGTGCAATCAATCATTTTGGCAAATCCAACCCATATGTATTATATTCATAGATAATTGTGTGCATTTTGCTATAGGATGAAATCAGCAAATGCTATAAAATGAAGATGATAATATTTTAAAATGATGGCAAAGCTAAAAAAAGCGGTCATGTATATAAAAATTATAATATAATTTGTATGATGATGTAGCTAATATACTACAACCAATATTTGGGTTTAATTTTATCATTTGAATCTAATTTAAATATTATATTTGGTTTAAGTTATTAATCATGTTATTTAAAAAAAAATTAATTTTTAAAAAATTACGTGATTTTTTTTTAACCCGGTGTTGTTCTCTCTCCTTAAGGTTGAGGGTTCAAGTAATGTTGTGGATATATGTGGATTTAAAGTGTAATTTAGGAGTAGATTAGATTTATCGTTTAAAAAAATGATAATAAATATTTTTAATTTGTAACGGTTAATAAATAAATTGTTATTTTTTATTTGTCATTTTGTACGTGAGGATAAATTAATCATTTATTTATATTCAAACAAGTCCAATAAAAACAATATTTATCCATAAAAGTCTTATTATCCATGCGATACACTTTATCAATCCATGACTTACATAAAAAAACCTACGGACTTATTTTACCAATAAAGAGATTTTATTGTAGTGCAGAATTGTTTTTTGTTTAGCTTTTTTTTTTCCTTTTTTTAAAGATCTTTACAACAAAAAGAAGGTTTTTTTTTTTTTTTTTTTTTTTTTTTTTTTTTTTTTGAACAAATTAGTATCAAGAAATTGTACTTTAGCATTGAGAAATTATGTTTGATATTATCATTGCTAAATTGCAATTAGGCATGACAAAATTGCAATTCTATCATTAGAGCATCTTTAATAAAAGTTATTTTTTGATAGCTTTTTACTATTCCGTTGAATGATCAAAATAATTTAACACCATTAGACTCGATGTTTTTTTTTTTTTTTTTTTTTTTTTTTTTTTTTTATCATTCAATAAACGGTCAATAAAGTTTCATATTTTGAATACTCTAACTCGTTCTCTTAAATAATATTACATTTTATCCCTTTGATTTAATTTTAAGTATTTATTATTTATCTAAAGTCTATAGATAAAAAATATATAATATATAAATATATACTATAGTAATATGTGACTCGCTTGTATGTGAGTGAATGTATAACATGTTTTAATAACAATTAGTTAAACGAGAAGGTTTTATATGATATTTTAAATAGAAAGTAATTAAATTAATGAAAAAAACCATAAAAAAGTTTAACCTTGAAGAAACAATTTAATTTAGGTCAATATAATTAAATAGTGAAGTGATAAATTTTTTGACTTATCATATAAGTTAACTATTATAGATGCTTTTAAAAAATTATAATTAAAATTACAAATTATAATTTGGCAAGGAAAATTTATAACTTTTTATTTTACCATTAGAGATGCTCTTAAAAATTACAATTTAAAATTACGATATGTAATTTGGCAATGGGAAATTTATAACTTTTATTGATTTTTTTTTCTTTCTTTTTACTATTTTTGTTTGGAAATCATAAAAAAATCTCATTTCCCATCATTGTGTTTGCAGTGGGTCCACTGCAAAATTTAGTACTTTTCTTGGTAGAATATGAAATGCTTTTGGTTATTTTCCAGAAAGCCTTTATGCAAATGTGAAAATATTAGAATGGGCGGCCCAAGTGATGGCCTACTGTGATTTGTGAACCTGTGCTGCCAGATTACTAGAATGGAAAGCCATATGTAGAAGATAAATATATGTAGTTTTCTTTTATAGACAATGTAATGTAACCACGAACCACCATGTAAATTGGTTTGGATATTGATATGGTTCAAACATAATTTAATGATATTAGCTTAAACTCAATCTTCATTAAGTAGATTGACCTATCTTTATGATAAAGACTCAAAATTTGGCTAAAAAAAACCATCTCGAATAATACTAAAATATATGAAATACGCGCAACAATTGGTGCTTTAAAATGTTGTACCGTACAACTATATAATGCATAAATTGTTGTGTATAACAAAAAATTATTGTGTACAAATCACTTCCCATAAAACAAACTCAAATTTAGAAACTCGAATTACTCGAAAATATCTATATGTTTAGTAGGGGTGTGAAACCGAGTAAGTTGAGGGTAGTTTAACAAATGAGCTCAAATCCAAGCTTCAAACAAATGACATTGAATCGACTCGTAACGAACCTATATAATTTTATATAGTAAAAAACTAGGTGTAAGATCCATGTATTATATGAGTTAATTAAAAAAAATTAAATATAAATGTCTAAATATTTAATGACTTTGGATTTAGAAGAAAATAAGAAAAATAATGAATTATTAAAATTGATTTTTTTATCTTTTAAATTTAAATAAATAAATCAAATAAACTAATGATGTTTAATTTGAGAATTTTGAAGTAAAAAGATAAGTTTATTAATGAAATTTATATTCATGTATTACTATATTTATTGTAATTATTACATTAAAATATTATGCGAAATTTATTAAAATAAAAAAAAAAACCCACAAAATGGCATGTAGAAAAGAAATTAATTCAAAATAACCACAAAATAACATTTGACAAATTGAATTAGAGTGTGACACGTGAAAAAAAAAACATTCATTTATTAGAATAGATATCTAATTTTAATATTATATTTTGTATTTAAATTATTAACAAATATCAAATATTAAGTAATAAAAATCTCTCCATGCTGTGGACTGTCGTTAAAGAAAGGAAGTAATTATAGTCTTAATCTTGATTACATATAATACATACATGAAATAGATCTAGGGATTTTGTTAGTTTCTTCCTTCACTATTCCTTTTCAAAGAACGAAACCATGCCTACACATCTAGGGTTCTGTTTTCATATTTTCTCATAGAGTTGAGCTCGAGCTTTAATAGTTAAATGAGCCAAGCTTAGGCTTGATTAGGCTTGCCAGGCAAACAAGTCAAGCACGAGCATAATGAATCTTCCGCGAGCCAAGCTCATGCTTTGAACGTATACATTAGCCGAGTTCGAGATCGATCCCCATGATTTTATTTTTTAAACGAGGCAAGTTTGAGCTTGGTTAGACTCCTGATATCGGCTCGTTTACTCCCCTAATGTTTAGCAAAACAAGTTTTTGTTGAGTTTTTCATAGGAATCAGAAAAGTCTATAAAATTCGAGCGGAGTCCTTATAAGCCACAACTCATATGGTTCATCCTTACTATTTGTACTCGAATTTGGTAAGATTTGATTTGCACAATAAGCTCGAACAACTGGATGTTTTTTTTTTTTAATTGGTTGGTAGCCATATGTTCCACCATTAACAATCATTAGACCTTTGACAGAAGATCCCTACAAATCCATTGAATCTCACCAACCAAATTGGTTATGGGTTCATGTCTCATCACTAACAATGTACATACATATTTTTTTCTTATGAAAAGATAAAACAAGTACCATGTAAGTTTTGAGGATGACTTATGAAGTAAAGTGTCGGTGGTTGTTTTTCATTGTGTTTTTAGTTGATCTTAGACTTGATATAGTATTGTTTATTGTTGTATGTACGAATCACTTAAGATAAAACTCGGGTTTCTATTTAAATTTTAAAAAACATTAGAGTATTGAGAAATGACAATTGTGATATCTATCATCATATCATGTAAGTGTTTGATATTGGATTACAGATGAGATCAAATAATATCAAATTACATAATGTCAATTGCACTACATTCGTTTTATTTCAAAATATGTAATGGAGTCGTATCAAGACCTTCACAAAGATCTTCACCGCATTCTCCACCCACCACCCACCCATCCACCCACTTACCCCACTTACTCTTCCCCTCATTGCCATTGTACTTCATGCATTTTCA